TCTGCCTAGCCGGCTCCACCTCCTGGAGGGCCCCCACCGAGCCCCCAGCCGGTCGGCCCCGCTGGCAGCTGGCATTTAATTCCTGCTCGCCCCAGCCCGGGCGCGTGTCCAGCCCTCACTGTGAGCCTCTGTTCTCCCTGGGTCCTGGGTGGGATCCCAGACCCCGCTAACTTCGATTTAGTTTTTTCAAGGCTTGATTTATTTATTTATTCCCCCCCTCCCCTTTCCCCGGTCCCTGATCCTCGGTGCCAGCTGGGGACATCGCCGCAGCTGGGGGAGAGGGGGTGTCTTTGCCCCTCCTCCCCCCTCCCTTCGTGCCATGGCTGTGGGGCTGGCTGGGGCCGTTGCGAGCCCCGTCCCAGGGGGCTTCGGGGCCACCTGTCTCCTCCCCGGCCTCTTTGTCTCCGAACCGCGTGAGATGCCGCATCCTGCGCTGCCGGGGGCTGTTGTTTAAGGAGACACCCGTGCCGCTGCCCCCTGCCCTAAAAACACCCCACAAACTCACAGTCGTGTTTCCGTGCATCGCTGCGGAGCTGGTTTTGGGCTAACGGCCTCTTTGGCGTCACCACCATCATCATCGTCACCCATGCCAGGAGATGCTCAGGGTGCTCCTGCTTGCAGCTGTCCGCTGAATGGGGTCTGGGGGGGCTTTTGGGGACATGAAGTGCTTGGGGACGTGAAGTGCTTGTCACTTGGGGACAAGAGGTTTGGGGCTAATGGCCTCTTTGGCATCACCATCATCACCCACGCTAGGAGATGCTCAGGGTGCTCCTGCCCACGGCTGTCCCCTGAATGGGGACTGGGGGGGCTCGTGTGACACCTGGGGACATGAAGTGCTCCTGCATCCCTCTTGGTGGCTTGCAAGCAGCATTCCCCTCTGTCTCCATCCCCTTCCCTGATGCTGTGATCCCATTCCTGGCGCTGGAGATCCCGTTTCCAACCCCGGTGTGATGCTCGCAGCAGCTGGGGCTCACCCCCCCCCGCCCCCCGTTTTATGGGCACAACCTTTGTGTGCAGATCCGGGGCAATCAGATAATGAGCGTTTCCTCCCAATTCCCGAGCAGGGCAATTGCGGCCGCTCCCACCTGCTTGCGGGAGTTGTGCCGTGTAAATGATCAGGGGTCACTGGTCCAGCTGGAGTGAGCCCAGTGCCCCGCGTCCAGCCGCGGGAAAGCGGGATGGGTTGTCTTTCACGGTCCATAAAAGTCTCAGATTTCCCTTAGTCTCTGATTTGAGGGTCCCGGAGTAGGTAAATGCGTTTTCTCCCGTGAAAAATGCATATTTTGGAGTGGTTTTAGCCCGTGTCAATCCCACCCTGAGTGTTTGCCCTGCTCCTGGCTATATGGGATCTCTATAGGGGCCGTGGGATCTCTACAGGGGCTCAGGGCTGCGAAGGAGCCCCGGAGAGAGCGTCGTCTCTGCCGCAGGGTCCCGGCTCTCCCTGCCTCCTCCGTGCCGGGACAAGGGCGTCCAGAGTCCGCTGCAGTTTTGGTGCGAGCTGGCAGGGCTGAGCCACCCGTGCAAAGAGCACCCAGGGTGGCAGGAAGGTGGCAGCCCCTGCGGGTGCTGGGCTGGAGCCCTTCCCCGGCGGGAGAACTGCACGGCAGCACCCCGGTTTCTGCTGGGGTGACCCAGGGTGATCCCATCCCACTTTGATCCCATCAAGGGCTTTTCTGCACGGGCAGGGCGGGGGATTTTTTGGGGTGCAGGGAGCTGGGTGGGGGTCGGGATGGGTGGGAACGTTGTGGCCGTCCTGTCGCCCTCGGAGAGGCTTTTTCTGGCTCCGGCTTTTACAGCCTCCAGCTCCTCTCCGCTGGGGAATGCCTCTGGCCAGGCCTTCCCCCTCCATCCATGCTGGGATGGGGCTGTCGGAGGGGATGGGGACTGACGGC